GAGGAGGAAGAGGAAGAGGAAGAGAAGGAAGAGGAGGAGGAGGAGGAGGAAGAGGAAGAGAAGGAAGAGGAGGAGGAGGAGGAGGAAGAGGAAGAGAAGGAAGAGGAGGAGGAGGAGGAGGACTGTGGGGTCCTTGGTGCTCTCTGAGCTTGGCTGTTTTCTCACAGACATTTCATGACCCAAATAAGCAACATCATCACTGCTAGAAAAGACTGGGATTTGAAGAGAGGAGGAGGAGGAGTATGAGGAAGAGGAAGACTGTGGGGTCCTTGGTGCTCTCTGAGCTTGGCTGCTTTCTTGCAGACATTTCATGATCCAACTAGGTAACATCATCAGTACTTGAAGGGACTGAGGTTTGCTATCTGTTTGTAGATTAGTGGCTTGTCCTGTCAGTACTAGTGGGGTGGTCTTGATCATTCCTTGATCAAACTGAATATTGCCTGCACTTTTGCTCACCACATTACAAAAAAGATGTTGAGACTTTGAAAAAAAGTGCAAAGAGGAGCAGCTAAGATGATTAAAGGCCTGGAGACCAAAACGTATGAAGAACGGCTGCAGGATTTGGGTTTGTTGTAAGTTTAGGACTACCTGTACTTAGCAAGGTAAAATTTGGGCTCCACTGTGGCCATACTACCTGTAGTTACTCAGTGGGGAAGCCAACTCAGATTGAGAACTACTCCCACTGCTCATAAAACAGTGCAACACGAGGAAGGCATAATTTTGAAGAACGAGGAAGGGAAAAACAGAATAGCAGAGGTTAAAAATACAAAAACCCACCTTCTCTGTTCGTGTTAATTAATAATCAAAAAATATATGTACCACTCTTGAGAAAGGTTGATGGGAGGACAAGGTTTTGTGATAAATCTGTTTTATGGGTATTTTTCCCCCTTTCCAGGAATTGCCTCAAAAAGGACTGCACAAAATAATTGATTTAGCAAGGCAGTTAAGCGTGGAGAAATTTGCAAGCTCAGGGCATTCGTTGTTCCTTGTCCGGCAAAGTTGCTGGATTGTTGTTTTTTTAAAAAAACAAGGGGTTATTTATCTGAAAGGAAGGGGGAAAACGTAGAAGTTGCAACCAAGAGAAGAAATTGCAAAGAGAAATACTTTGGCTGGAAAGAGGGAGGAGTGGAGATTGAGAACCGTGATTTATGTGCCTGGATTCTGTGTGCGACTACGGAAGGGAAGATGCGGCTCCTGGTTATTCTCTGAGCTTGGTGTTTTTTTTTTGCAAACGTATCGTTACCAAACTTGGTAACCTCATCAGAGCCAGAAAGTGCAAGAAACAAACATTGGCAAAGAAAGCAACCAAGCTCAGAGAGCACCAAGGATCCCCACAGTTCAACCCTGAACTACAAATATTCCCTTCTAATCAAACCACTTGTAATATAAACAGAAATCAAACTCCATACCCTTCTAATATTGATAATGTAACCTAAAGGTAAACGTAAAGGTTCCCCTCGCACATACATGCT